GTCTAGAAAATCAATAGTAAATCTACATCTCGAAAATTTCAGTTTGATGCTTAATTAATGTAAATAATCGCGAGCGTGCAATATAACTTTTTTGCGCGCTTTTTTGCACGGTTTGGCGTGCATTATAACAATAACAACGGCGTGTCACGTGACGCGTTTTGACCAATCATGATGCATAAAATATCCAATCCATTTTATAAACAATTATGAATTATATACGATACAATATGGTATTTTCTTTACACTACACAGCCTTTATTACATGACACATTACTCTACCTTCTCCAAGACTTTGCACGTGGAGCCTGCCTACTCTAGTTTACACTACTATCTACATTACATCCAGATTAATCGGAACAACTGCTAATTGGACTTTGTTGCAACACTTGAATCTAATCATGCCAATGCAAGATTTGCGCAGCTTGGCAAAACGAATCAGATACAGTATGGGGTTGAAGAGACTATTGGTGACAGCTAGCGAACCGACAAAGTCCATCGAGTGCAACAGCCTGCCGCCGTGGACATTTAGCGTGAGGACAATATTGAACGGCAACCAGCAGACCATTAGTACCACGAGCATGATCACAACGGTGACGGCGACCTTCACCTCTGCCTTTAGAATCGACAACGGCATCGATCCAGGATGAACGTCGACATTCTGTGGCTGCACTTCCATCTGGTTCTGACGAATGTGGCGGTGGGCAACGACCAGCACCTGCGCATACATGGTGACCATCAGCACGCACGGCACGTACAGCTGCACGATGCCCCAAAACATTACATATGCGAGAGGAAACACAGTCACCGAGCATTCGGTAAAGTGATCGACTCGCTGATCCCACTGGATGATCAACGGCAAGAAGCCGACGATCGCGGAAAACAGCCAGGAGAATGAGACAGCGACCTTAGCCGAGAGCTCGCTCACGAGGCTGTTGTAACGGAGCGGATGCACGATAGCGATGTACTGGTCGACACTGACAAACAGCAGGCTCATGGCTGACACCTGGTTGGAGGAAATGAGCAACGAGTACATGAGCAGGCACGAATAACTCGTGTCGATGTTCATCTGGCCGTACCTGACAATCACGAAGGCTGAGTAGATGAGCGAGACGAAGATGTCGGAGAGCACGTGCGACCTGAGAAACCAGTACTTTATGTCGCTGAATTCCGCGTGGCGTCCTCGAACGAGCGTTACGAGAACTAGCGTGTTTAGGAGGAAGATGGACGACATCAGAATCGATCTTCCCATCATGGCGATGTGTTTGGAGTTCTCCGTAACTGGCGACACGGTGAAATTCACGCTGACGTTAAAACTAGCCATGCCGAATGCGTTTTTTGTTTTACTATGGGTCCGTAGCAGAGTCGATCAGCATCTGACCTTGAATCACGCGGTATGGTCAACTTCACTGTTTCTTCTATTTCCTATGTTCTCGTTTTGGAGAGTTGATCGCACTTGCCTATGGCACAGCTCTGCTAGGCGTGGACGTGTAGGATAGTGCAAGTATACCCTAGATGCACTACCACTTCGTATTGCCCTACTGGCTTTTGCACCGACAGGTAGAGACAGCTTTACGGACGTGAAGCATGACAAACTAATTGCATAGCTTACCTAAACAGCAGCATATCAGTAATGCGCTTTCTTTGTACTGCGCATGTGTCAATTATGGCTTCTGGGTGTCACACAATATTCACGTGACAATGCCCTAATAGCTTGCACTAACCAGGGCAGACGTCCCCGACACATAATCTTCGAGTTTCACATTGATTAAGCTATACTACCGAGAGGAACACGAGCTAAACAACAGCAAAGAATTACCCACGCAATGTAACTACAAGTGAATGCTTGAGTGTTGCTTGAGCTAGTTTTTAATAAATACAAGACAAATTTTCGGATACGGACAGATACATGCTGCCAGTAAATGTAGACAGAGTGAGCAGTGTGTAATAGTTTCAAATAAAAATTCGATTTGTTTTTTTGTTAACTCTCACATATTATGGTGTATTTTGCATTCTAATTGCTGTAATATACTTCAAAGATGACTGTGGTGATGTCAACCAGAGAGGTGGCAGTGGTCTGGCATCGAATGATCCAAGAGTACGTCTCTATGACATGTACAGCCATATACTATATATATACACTTATAGCATTGAGATTGTATTGAAGGGCATCTAAATGCAAATTTGAATAGCAGGATTAAGCAGAGAAATGGTAAGTGGAAATAAGGACGAAATGGGTACTTAGCTATGTTATCTTATCAGGAGTCTATCAATATTGATAGACTCCTGATCTTATGTGTTCGTTATACAGTGGATACCTTATAGTAGTGTTAAAGCAATGATGTACCAAAGCATGAAGACAAAAATATCACAGTGCAACATAACAGATCATATATATGCAAACTATACTTAAACCATCCATAAACTACGGAAATCTATTATATCTTTTAAAATATATTTTATAAAATAACTTGCAATTGGTCTTCCCATATATATATATATATTATATATATATATATTTATATATAGCCTCAGACATACCTAACCTCTTCTGTAGGTAGGACGGCTTACGAAAGTTAACCAAAGGCATCGCTGCTTCGTGTTCCACTTCACACTGCTCTCCATCCTCCGTGTCTGCTTCCTATTAAAATAGTGATGCATGATTAATTATTAATAGTAACAGCAAAGTATCATGGCTGCATCTAGACAATAAACCTAGACTATACACTATGTTACCTATGTCTACATGTCAACCCATGGTATTAGTCTAGAACAATTACTGTCACGTAAACAGGTAGCTCTCACATTCAATATTCACATTTTCACATTTAATAGAAGAAATATCTAATAATATTAATTCATTTTACATTATCTAAAATGCATCACAATGCTTTTGGTATCATTTAGACTTAGAGACAGATCGATCAATGTTGATAGATGAGTGTCACCGTCTGTTCAAACAGACAGTAACTATAACGAAGTGGCTATATGCCCGCGGTAGCCGGGCAGCTCGTTTCTTTTTCCCAGTCGACATATCCAGTCGAAGAATTTAGCGCCTTCTGATTGGTTCTGATTGGTTCATCCTGCCTCTTGATTGGTTCAAAAACAGCGCGTGTTTGCTTATTTAGCATTGTCATGTACTTCTGTACTTCTGTTACTTCTGAAAGGTCGTTGGTTCGAATCCGGTTTGGTTTTTAATTATTTTTTTGTTTTCTGTATTTTTCTATCTTT